AAATTAAGACATTTTCTAAACATTATTGGCCGTAAAAAAAAACTTCAAATTTTTAAAAATGCCGAGCCAGGTTTTTTTTATTTGGAGTTTTTGTTTAGATTTTGGCTATATATTTTTTTTTTTTTTTTTGAATCTTGGATTTATAAAAATTAACATTTCAATATGGAGGAATTTTCCTAATTTTGAAATTTAGAGAAATCGAAAACTGTTCAGGATTGAAAACAATAAATTGAGTATGTGATATTTTTGAGGATAATTAATTAGATTTTTAAATAGAGTTTTAAAGTAGCTGTGAATATTGAGTTACCTTAGCAGTCTGCAATACTTTAGAATTCTAAATTGCCCCAGATTTCAGAATTTTAAGGTAATTCTGAAAATAGTTTATAGTGAAGTGTAAGTATGCAGTTTGTGCAACCTTTGATTGAAGTGAAGACGGTATAAATTGTCTTTTGCAAACTCTGGTCACAACTGCATGGAGATTTTGTCAAGAAAGGAAATGTCCAATGTTTCTATGGAGATTAGGTTTTATCAAGTTTTAAGAAATCTAGCCAATTTTTGGGAGACTTTCAATGCTATTTTGGCAAAGTACTTGAGTACTTAGAGTATACTGAAGAGGATAAGACTGGGGAGAATGTGACGGTCAATCTGAAGAGCGTTTCAAGGAAATTATTAAGGATATTCTAAGCGAATTTCATAGAGAAAAATTGAGACAAAATTATGCCAATTCTTGGAAATTATTACCAGTTTGAATTGTGGAATCAGAAAGCGATTTATAAGAGATTAAAAGAGATAATGCTAAGCACTCTTAGAATGTTACTGAAAAAGTTTGGATATTATCAAGATTAGCTTAGGGGAATCCAGAATAGAAGTATGATGAAATTCTAGGATGATTAAAATTGAACTCTGTAAATGAAGTAAATTCAGACCAACAAAAAATTCATGATCAGGAGCCCAGGAAAAGTATAAATAGCTGAATTAAGAATCATTTCAAGATCCTGAGACTTCAAAAATGACGCTTTCAGACTTTCATTTTAGTTACATAATAATATTATTCTTTGGCATAAAACTATTTGCAATGGTCATGTGGAGTTACCCGTAGTTTAGGTAAACTGTGTGTGAGTACCACGATGTTAGGCTTTAATTCTCAGGAGAATTTAAGTTTAAAATAAAATTAACTACTGGTCTACCGAGTGTTGTGAGTTGTATGATGTCAAGAATGAAATTGGAAGTCTGATCAATCGCAGAGTAATATTACAATTATTTAAAACTAATAAAAATTGTAAGACATACACGGGGATTTTCGTACATAGAAAATAACTTTCGAAATGTCACTTTTAACCACGAGTTAAATTTAACTCAGCAAATGGTTCACAGCCTAAACTGAACTATGCCCATTTTGTTATGGCATGTTTTGCCAAATAAAAAATGCTCCTCGTGTTTATTAGCGAAATTCACATCGAAGGAATTGCGTAGAAAATCAGTTTAACACGGCATTTGTGACCAGCATACACCTTCCGGTCGTATGAAACAGGTCAAAAACTGTCCAAATCCACAAAAAAAAAAATTGTTTTGAATTTCTTTATAGCAAAATATTGAACTTTTCGTTAACATTAACGGCAAAGAACTCACTAACACTGGGAGACCGTGAGCTCCTGCCCACCTGTGATAAACCCATCTCGGTACCGGCTGAATACTGTGGAAGGTGATCGACGGCACAATCCAGCAGGGATCCAGATACCATTCGGGAGATTGAACGTAAATATCTAGATAGAGCTGGAATTAGGGCGTAACACGCCTACACAAAACAACATATCCATCGGGTAGGAGTAGTCTTTCTCTACTCGATGGTTATGTCGATTTGCCAGGGAGAGCTATGGCTTCCGAGAAATCATCGAGAGAAATCATTGTTTACAAAAGCTGTTACGCCCTATGTTCGATAATCTCTGGAGAACAGCAATTCTGTGCTTAATTTTTCTTCGCTAGAGCACTACAGATCACAACGGGAACACGTATCTGAGGTAAGTTCTTTTTTTATTCTTTCTTCTAGTACAGGCACTTGAGACACTTTTGTCCTAGGAACTAGCACGCAGGTTCGTACAAAGTATCTTTATTGTTCACTACTATAACTATTTTACTACTTTATTATTCAAAAAACTACAAAATATTATTTCAATAAAATCACTGCCACTATTCGTTCTTTGTTTTGATTCACTTTCTGAGTTGTTGAAGGCTGATGACGTCGAGAAAAACTGATGATGATTTCATGATGACAGCTCGCCTTTTATAGAGGGTGCCTCCATTTTATGTAGGTAGTCCCGGATAGAGCGAGAACGCACTTTTCCGCCAGGCGCCATAATCGATGATCGAAGAATGGTTGATGCTGTCGGTCGATGCGGGTTGAAAAACAGGTGGCGCGCGGATGCACTTTTCGTGATGCACGAACATGCTGGCCCCTTCAGAAATCGTATTTCTGACAGTAGAATCGATGATCGCTCATTCCGTGTCGCTATTAATTGATGCCCCTCTCGATGACGATCCGTTGACGTTTGATGAATCGTCGATGTCACTCGTTGTGGCGAAGGCGATGTTGTTGTTATTTTTGATCAACAATCGGACGACGAGAACATAAAAAAAAACAAATTAAGACCCGGTAGCGGGTTACGATGCAATTAATTATATAGCACAGGTTCTTACCTTGTCCTTTATGTAAAAGGACCTTGTATTAATTTCATTTTCGCTGATCTGGATTGGAATCGATGTTTGCTTTTAGTGTTGTGGTGGTACTATTCGTTGTGAATGACTGGTCGGTGCTCTCGGTGGTGTTGTTTTGCGTGGGCGATATTGGCAACAAGCAAATTTTTGCAACTGGACGAGTGTAGCGGCCGGTTGGTGTTTGTACGGTAACTACACGGGTAACACCATTGATTCCGGGATGAAGATCGACGATTCTGGCGGTCTGCCAAGCCATTGGAGGTGCATTTTCATCTTTAAGAACCACCAGTTGGTTTCGTTGGATACTAATTGGTTGATTGCACCATTTCGTTCGAGGCTGCAATGTTGATAAATACTCATAATGCCACCTCTTCCAGATGATTTGGAACAACTTTTGAGTTAGTTGCCATTGTCGTAAGCGGTTGAACGGAATTTCGGTGACGTTGGTGTCCGGAACAGCCTTCAGTGCGGACCCTACGAGGAAGTGGCCAGGCGTGAGAGGCTCGAAGTCGGATGCATCGTCACTGAGTGGAACGATGGGACGAGAATTGAGGCAGCATTCAATTTCTACCAGCAATGTCTCCATATCGTCTTGGGCAAGAGTGTGTGTGCCAAGTACACGAACGAAATGCTTTTGGGCGGAACGAATGGCAGCCTCCCACAGGCCACCAAAATGCGATGCTTTGGGTGGATTGAAGTGCCAACGAATACCCTTATAGGTGCATTCTCGAGCTAGTGCTTGCTGGTGTTCCTGGCTGCGGATCAGTTTCCGCAGTTCATTGTCGGCTCCTATGAAGTTGCGACCGTTGTCGCTGTATATGTCACTGCACAGACCTCGACGAGAAACAAAACGACGTAGCGCCTGAAGAAATTTGGCTGTGCTCAGATCGATGACTAATTCGATGTGTACAGCGCGGGTGGAAAAACACACGAAAACCGCTACATAGGCCTTTCGTGGTGCTGCTCGACGATGTGTTGGCTGCAGCGAGATGGGTCCCCAGTAGTCAACGCCGGCTACGGAGAATGGTCGTGTGGCGGTGACTCGTGACGCTGGTAGCTCGGCCATGAATTGTTCCAAGAGTTTTGGACGGGCTTTGACGCAAGCGATGCAGCTGTGTACGATGGATTTGGCTAGGTTTCTGGCCCCTGTGATCCAATACCGCAGACGAAGAACAGTGACGAGAAGTTGCGGAGCTGCATGTAGATGTTTTTCGTGGTACGATCGAACCAAAAGCGTGGAGAAAGCGTGAGACGCAGGAAGAATTATCTGATGCTTGCTGTCATACGGCTGCGGCGCTTGATTTATTCGACCTCCAATGCGAATTAGCTGCTCAGCGGACAGAAACGGGTGAAACCAACGTAAACGGGATTTCGACGAAACGGGCCTAGATTGTTCGAGATTTCTCCATTCGTCTGCGAAGGTTTGCTTTTGAATCAGTCGAATTAGGGTTGCTTCCGCTGCGTTCTTTTCGTCCGTAGAAATGTAATTCGTTTCCGTATTGTTAGCTGGAGCTCGACGACAATGTTGGATGAACCGACGACAGTATACAGTTACTCGAAGCATCCGATCGTAGTTGGAAAACTTGTCCACGTACAAGTCGATGAACGATGGTTCTGTTGAGGCTGGACAGCCGGTTGTTGCTCGCTTTCCTGCTTCGTGGAGTGCTTCGCTATTGAATTCGTTGTTGATTTGCTCGATCGGCCAAGAGTGTTGATCTAGTTGTAGCCACTTCGGTCCTTGCCACCAGAGTTGGTTTTCGATCAAGTTCTCTGCCGGAATGCCTCGGGATAGGTAGTCTGCTGGATTCTCTTGTCCGGAGACGTGATTCCAAGAACAGTTTTGCGTAGCTAACTGAATTTTGGAGACACGATTGGCTACGAAAGTATTCCACGCTGACGGCGTAGCTTTCAACCAGCAAATAACCGTCGTAGAGTCGACCCAGAAAAAGGTTTCCCCTGGAAGCTCGAGAGATGCGGTTACCTTTTGGTAGAGTTCGGTGGCGAGAAGTGCTCCACAAAGTTCTAGACGAGGAATGCTCTGCTGTTTTAAGGGTGCTACCTTGGATCTAGCGGTCAGCAGGGCTGCTTTCACTGCTCCAGAAGAGTCTGACGATCGAATGTAGCAGCACGCGCCGTATGCGTGCTGAGAAGCGTCCGAGAAGAAGTGGTACTGAACGCTTGACGGAGTCGAAGAAAGGATGTACCGCTCGATACGAAGGCTGTTGAGAGCGGTAGACATTCCAACGTTCCCTTAGTGGCATCGGAAGTTCTTGGTCCCAGTTCCAAACCTTGCCGTCATCGTCCTTCAACGTCCAGAGTGCTTGCATGAAGAGTTTGGCAGAGATTACAACAGGACCCAGTAGACCAAGTGGGTCGAAGAGACGAGCAATTTGCGACAACGCGATTCGCTTGGTGAGAGGAGAATCAGATGAATCTGCCGGAAGCTCGATGCGGTATTTCAGCTGATCCGATGCGGGTTCCCAATGAAGACCCAAGGACTTGATACATTGGTCACGATCCAGGTAAATGGAGGCTTTGAGCGCTCGATTTTCTGGTGCGAGGCCATCCAGAACAGTTTCTTCGTTGGATGCCCACTTACGAAGTTGGAATCCGCCTTTAGCAAGGAGTGCTTCCAGTTGCTGACGAAGTTCGATTGCTTCTTCGACGCTTTTTGCTCCCGTGAAAAGGTCGTCTACGTAGAAGTCCTTACGTAGAATCTCAACTGCTTCAGGAAAACTCTCTTGCTCGTCATCTGCCAGTTGCAGGAGAACTCGAGTAGCGAGAAAAGGTGCGCTTGCAGTGCCGTATGTGACTGTTAGGAGCTCGTAGGTACCTAATGGTAGGTCCGGCGATGGCGTCCAAACGATTCGTAGAAGCGGAGTGTCACGCTCGTCTACAAGAACTTGCCGATACATTTGCTTTGCGTCAGCGATGATCATGACTCGACGGATTCTGGAGCGCATGATAATTGAACGGATGTCTTGCTGAACGGTTGGGCCTACCATTAGTGCGTCGTTGAGCGATGGTCCCTCCGGAGTCTTGCATGACGCATCGAATACCACTCGCAGCTTCGTGGTAGTGCTCTCTTCTCGAACCACAGCGTGGTGAGGCATGTGATAACATGGAGATGGAGGCGCTTGGTAGTCGAACACTTGCTTCATGTGGCCCAAAGTCAGATACTCATCCATGAAATCACGATATTGCTTGGCAAGGTCTGCGTTACGAACAAGACGACCTTCTAGCATTCGAAAACGACGAACAGCAGTGCGACGGTTGTCGCCGAGTTGCTTGATGACGTCATCCTTCACTGGCAAGCGAACTATGTACCTTCCTTCAGAATTGCGCCTAATCGTGCGTCGAAAGTGTTCTTCGCAAGCGGTTTCTTCGACGGAGTACGCTGTCGAAGTGCTGTCTTCCTCGATTGTCCAGAACTTTTCCATTAGCTGATGGATATCTGAAACTGTAGCGACGTTAGCAACGACGAGAGCGGTAGACGGACTGATCGTAGACTTTCCAGCTACTACCCAACCAAAGACGGAGTTGACGAGCACTGGAAGATTGTCGCCGACAGGAATTCGTCCGGGAACCTTGAACAGATCAAAAAAGATTTCGGCTCCAATGATGATGTCGATCGGATTGGTGCTGTCAAACGACGGATCTGCAAGCTGAATGCTAGATGGCATGTCCCATGTCGAAGTATCGACGGATGTAGCTGGTAGATCGACGGTCACCTTCGGCAAAACGAGGAATTCGACGTTGGTGGAGTACTCACCAACTCGAGAACGGATAGTGGACGTAAACTTCAGCTTAGCTTGAGTGGATGCTTGACCGATTCCCGTGATTGGCAGGTAAATCTTCTTCCTTTGAGCCTTGATGCGTTGCGAAAAGCGTTCTGTGATAAAACAACATTCGCTGCCTGAGTCCAGGAGAGCGCGAGCGACGTGTTGGACTCCTTCATCGTCAATCAAGATGATGACCGCAGTTGCAAGGAGGATTGTCTTCCGCTTGTAGCCAGCGGAAGCACAACTGATCGACTCGACGACCGTAGCAGATGCAGACGTGGTCGGAGGATCGATAGCTGGAGCAGGTGTAACAGATTTCGGTTGCTGGGAGCTGATAGGCTTCGAATTCAACGACGAAGAAGAATGGTTCAAGCAGAGCAAGGTATGATGACGTCCACGACACTTGCGGCAATTAGTGGACGACGAACAATCCCTCGAGAGATGACCTTTTCGCAGGCAATTCCGGCAAAGTTGATGACGACGGACTTCCTTCTCCTTTTCTTCCACCGAAAGCTTCGAAAAACTCCCGCAAAGGTACAGAGGGTGATGGTCAGAACAGATGACACAATTCCGAACGTTGAACTGGCTGGCTCCGTGACTCGAGACGGAACGCTGAATTGGCTTCTTGTGTGTGATTGACGGTTGTGTTTCGATGGTCTTCGCTTTGATGGCTTGTAGCACCGTGATTCGTCGCTGGATGAATGACGTCAGCTCGTTAAAGGTGATCGCTTGTTTGGTTGAAGAGTACTCCTCCCAATCTCGCCTTGTCGTCGGATCGAGTCGAATGCTGAGCATACGAATGAGTAGGATGTCCCAGTATTCCGTACGTTCACCCAATTGCTGCAGAACCTTGACGTTTGCTTCGAATTTCTCCACTAGACTATGGAGTTCCGTTGCCGATTCCCTTTTCATTGAAGCGAAGTCGAAGAGTGCGTCCACATACGTTTGCTTCAGCCGAGCAGGGTTCTGGAAGTGTTCCAGCAGAAGGTTCCAAGCCACCGGGTAGTTGTTCGCGCTGATTGGGATCGTTTGGATGAGCTGCAATGCTGCATTCGACAACGAGGACCGCAGATAATAGAACTTTTGGATGTTCGAGAGACCAACCGACGAGTGGACCAGTGACACAAACAAATCGTGGAAATTTAGCCAATTCTCCAGTTTTCCATCGAAGACGGGGAGTTTAACGTCCGGCAAACGCACCTGCGATGTCGACGGAGGGAATTGAGCTTCTAAATGATTTGGAATCGGGTGAGTTGGAGTGATTGGAGTTTTATTATGAGCCAACAGGAAGCCCTTAACATAGTAGTAGGCGGACTCAAGCGACGTCCGCTCCTTCAGGTGGACCTCGATGGCAGCTTCATCGAGCGTCTCCAGCTCGCTCTGGACGGTATTGTAGTCCGTCCACAGTCTTATCAGACTTTCGAGACGGACAGGCACTTCATCGGCCTGCTTTTCCTCATCGTAGTCATCAACGAACGCCTTAATTAGATTAAGCGACGTCACCAAACTTTTCAGTCGCAGTTTCAGCGACTTAATGCGGCGCTCGGTCGACATTGAAGAATAGATCTGTGGACAATGGACCAGCGCAGCACACAAAAATTGAAAGTAAGGAAGTTGGAATGCCAATTACCTGGTAGAGGCAATTAATTTGCCTTGAATCAAATCAATTTAAATCAGCAGCAGTGATGGCGGAATCCAGTAGGACGACGTGGATCTCCGAACAGTTGAAATGGTGGATGGTGAGCTGGGTCTGAAAGCAGAAGACCGCGTAGCTCAAACGGGAAATGAATATAAAGTAGGAATACTAATTACCTTGTGAAAGGCAATTATGTGCCTTGTAATTTAATCGAAGCAGCAGGAACGATGGCGGAATCTCACAATCCAAAGCTATTCTTCAGCTGGCTGCGATGGCGGATCTCACAATCCAAAGCTATTCTTCAGCTGGCTGCGATGGCGGATCCGGCGTGGATTGTCCTGCAGCTGCAATGGCGATTCGTTCCACCACGGGAAGTTTCCAGAACGGTCGGAGTTTCGACGATCGATCCGGTTCGAAGGACCAAATGTTCGATAATCTCTGGAGAACAGCAATTCTGTGCTTAATTTTTCTTCGCTAGAGCACTACAGATCACAACGGGAACACGTATCTGAGGTAAGTTCTTTTTTTATTCTTTCTTCTAGTACAGGCACTTGAGACACTTTTGTCCTAGGAACTAGCACGCAGGTTCGTACAAAGTATCTTTATTGTTCACTACTATAACTATTTTACTACTTTATTATTCAAAAAACTACAAAATATTATTTCAATAAAATCACTGCCACTATTCGTTCTTTGTTTTGATTCACTTTCTGAGTTGTTGAAGGCTGATGACGTCGAGAAAAACTGATGATGATTTCATGATGACAGCTCGCCTTTTATAGAGGGTGCCTCCATTTTATGTAGGTAGTCCCGGATAGAGCGAGAACGCACTTTTCCGCCAGGCGCCATAATCGATGATCGAAGAATGGTTGATGCTGTCGGTCGATGCGGGTTGAAAAACAGGTGGCGCGCGGATGCACTTTTCGTGATGCACGAACACCCTAATTCCAGCTCTATCTAGATATTTGGTTTCTGGTATGAATGTGAAGAGCTGTGGAATCCAGATTACATGTGAATGTTGCCTCGAGCGGTGGCTATGAAGACTTCAAAAGAGATTCTGGACATTGTTCACAGTGACGTCAGCGGACCAATGATGAAGACTATGGGTGGTGTCAGATATTATCTTACCATGATCGATGACCATAGCAGATACCAGTGCTACAAAATCTCGACAATGCACGGTGATATTGACAATTCTGCTTTGGTCACTCATTTGAGCTAACAGTCACAGTCAAGGCAAACCATGTCAATTGTCAATGACAATGCTGTCAGTGACGAACTTGTGTAGATTTTGTAATTAACTAAATTTGTAATGAAATTAAATGACTTGAGCATCACAATAACATGGAGCCGTTAATGTGAACAAGCATCTACGTCCTGAACTGCTTAGATACCAATAATGTGACACAGAATATACGAAATTACACTTGTTGTTACCAGGAGAATCTTTGTCATTGATGAAAAAATGAATGAGATTTTGACGAAGATTTTTTGATGATCAAGTCTTTCAGTGACTATGTGACGAACAATTTTGTCAATATCACGCGAAAGTCTGTCAATGACAATGATAAATCTCAGCACTGGCAGATACACGATGGTATACTTCCTGAAAGAGAAATCTGAAGTTGAAGCTAAGATTCGTGAATACGTTCGATTTGTGGAAAACCAGTTTGGTGATTCGATTGGACAGAGGAGGTGAATATAAAAGCCAAAACATCCGAAAATTCTACGCAGAAAAAGGTATGCAAGCTGAAACGAAATGAAATGAGAAATGAATCCAAGAAAATTCCAGATGGGTCCGTGTAGGAAGCGCATGTTCCTGAACGTTTTGCTTAACTGGAAACTGTCGAGGCAGAAGAAGATGAACAAAACAAAGAACTTTATGACTCTATGTAGTTTTCCGAGGCTGAAGGCGAGGATGAAGATGATCAGCTGAATGCTACAGATAATACTATGACCCGGAATTAGTACGATGATCAACGCGATCGAACTTTGGCGTTCCTTCGGTACACCATTAGCCTCGTTGTAAACCTACCAGTGGAACCGAAGACTTACGCAGAAACCGTTTCCAGTTCCGAGCATGTCGAATGGAAGACAGCAATGCATGAAGAAATGGCGTCTCATCAAGAAAACGGTACATGGGAAATCACCGAGCTACCCCCGGACCGTAAGCCAATAGGATGTAAATGGGCCTATAAGCGGAAAGAAGTTAAGACCGGTCAAGTTGTACGACACAAGGCTTATGGAGCAAGTATTCTCCCAAAAATTTGGCTTGAACTATGATCTGTTTTTTCCTCCTGTGGTGAAGCAAGCATCTTTTCGAATCGTTTTAACTTTAGCGAGCAGGGAACAAATACTGGTGCGTCACGTGGACATAAAAAAGCCTATTTGCATGGCGGACTTCTGGAGGAGATCTATATGAAGCAACCTCCGGGCTTCACATTCAGCACTCCGAATAACATGTGCCGATTGAGACGCAGTCTTTATGAACAGGCAGCAAGAGTCTGGAATCGACGGACTGATGAAGTTTTCAAGAAACTGGGTTTCCAACGCACAACTGCTGATACCTGTCTGTATATTCGACGTAAATGACATCGTTGTTTTCTGCAAAAGAATCGGAACACCGAGATTTGGTGAAAGCATTACGAGCGGAATTCAAGATAACGGAATTGAAACGCCTGATTCAAAAGGCACTCAAACAATGACTCATTAAATGTATTTCCAATATAGCCATCACAAATTCAATGTTGTCTTCTCAGTGCTTATGATGCTAGTGGGGACGACTCTATCTACGATGCAAGAAAGATTGTGTTTTGCTGTGGCTAGCTGCGTACACGCTGAGTAGATAGAAAGAAGATTGATGACGTTTCTGAAGATTTCCTGCAAAAATATGAACCGCGATGCAAGTTTTTTTTTTTTTTTTTTTTTTTTTAACTCTTTATTTGTTCCAAATTCAAAATAAATTACATTTCATTTTTAACCTAGGTGCTCCAGTTACTACAGTAACTTACCAGCCTTAATTGTTATGATATATATCTAAGTGTTTTTACATTGTTCCTGTCTTGGCAATTCAGTATTTTAAACAGGTTTTTTAACCTGCATGTCAGTATAACAATTGATAGCTTAAAACTAAATAACTAAAACTAAATCTTATCTAAGTATAAAGGGAATTAATCGTTGCAATTGAGGATTGTAACGATTTTTGCCGGAAATTATTAATTATTTTGTTGGACATTTGTGCTAAAGTCTCAACATTCGAAATTCTATGTACTTCGGTAGTACTGTACCAGGGAGGCAACTTCAAAATCATCTTCAGAATTTTGTTCTGAATCCTTTGAAGTGCTTTTTTCCTGGTAGTGCAGCAACTAGACCATATTGGCACAGCGTAAAGCATGGCCGGTCTAAAAACTTGTTTAAATATTAGAAGTTTATTCGTCAGGCAAAGTTTGGATTTCCTGTTTATAAGAGGATACAAACATTTTATATATTTGTTACATTTGGCTTGAATGCCCTCAATGTGATCTTTAAAAGTTAATTTTTGGTCAAGTATTAATCCAAGATATTTCACTTGGTTTGACCAGGAAATTGGAACTCCGTTCATAGTGACTATGTGACTATTACTAGGTTTCAAAAACGAAGCCCTGGGCTTATGTGGAAATATTATAAGTTGAGTTTTGGAAGCGTTGGGAGAAATCTTCCATTTTTGTAAATAAGAAGAGAAAATATCTAAACTTTTCTGAAGTCTGCTGCAAATAACACGAAGACTTCTTCCTTTAGCGGAAATTCCTGTGTCATCAGCGAACAAAGATTTGTGGCAACCCTGAGGCAAATCAGGGAGGTCCGAAGTGAAAATGTTATACAATATAGGCCCAAGAATGCTACCCTGAGGAACTCCTGCCCTAACAGGTAGTCGATTAGATTTGGAATTTTGATAATTTACTTGAAGAGTTCTGTCAGTTAAATAATTTTGAACTAATTTCATAATATAAAGTGGAAAATTAAACTTTTTCAATTTAGCAATCAAACCTTCATGCCAAACACTGTCGAATGCTTTTTCTATGTCTAGAAGAGCAACTCCAGTTGAGTGGCCTTCAGATTTGTTTGAACGAATTAAATTGGTAACTCTTAAGAGTTGATGAGTAGTTGAATGCCCATGGCGAAATCCAAACTGCTCATCTGCAAAAATTGAGTTCGTATTGATGTGAAGCATCATTCTATTCAAAATTATCTTTTCAAAAAGTTTACTTATTGAAGAAAGCAAACTTATTGGGCGGTAGCTAGAAGCTTCAGCTGGATTTTTATCCGGCTTCAAAATTGGAACAACTTTTGCATTTTTCCATTTATCAGGAAAGTATGCCAAATGGAAACATCTGTTAAATAATTTTACCAAGAAAGACAAGGTACTCTCTGGGAGTTTTTTGATGAGGATATAGAAAATTCCATCATCACCTGGAGCTTTCATATTTTGAAATTTTTTAGTTATAGACCTTACTTCGTCCAAATCAGTCCCCCAGGAATCATCAAAAATATTTTCCCGAGAGAAAATATTCAGAAAATCCCGAGCAACCTGATTCTCAATAGGACTAGTAAGACCCAAACTGAAATTATGGGAACTCTCGAATTGCTTAGCAAGTTTCTGAGCTTTTTCCAAATTTGTGATCAAAATTTTACCACCTTCTTTAAGCGCTGGAATAGGCTTTTGAGGTTTTTTCAAAATTTTTGTGAGTTTCCAAAAGGGTTTGGAACTCGGGTCTAATTTAGAAATATTATTTTCAAAAGTTTTGTTCCTCAGGGCAGAGAATCGCTTTTTAATTTGTTTTTGCAAATCCCGCCAGATAACTTTCATGGCAGGATCGCGTGTTCTTTGATATTGTCTCCTACGGACATTTTTAAGACGGATCAAGAGCTGAAGATCATC